CTATAAATAATGTGCTTAAAATAATTTCTTAAATGCAGAAAAAGGGAATGAATTAATGGCACTTGAAATCATTGAAAAAAATTTAAAGAAGAGTTATAAATCAGAATCATTTATCTTTCACTTAGTTTTGATAATCTAGGTGTATGGTACATTAATCTTAAAATTGAACAATGGAAAATCAATTTGTAAAACAGAAGAGAGGGGTTATAATTTTGAACATTTCAGGTATTCTGAAGACAGAAGAACACAAGACAGCATTTGAGTGTTTCACAGAAAGCACACTTTCCATTGAGATTATAAAAGATGATGCTCTACAAAAAATCTACTTCCGGGTCAAAGATAAGGTAAAACATAATCTGTGTTCCAACATTTTTTAATCGCTGGAATATTTAGAATTTTTAAACAATCAGTGTTTAGTTTTACGAAATCTGTGCAAATGATTGCGACAACTGACTTTGCTGCTTCAGCCATGGTGGCTGCTCTATCTTAAAATGTTGACATTAATCTAATAAGTTTGACACTTAGTCCCTCAAAGATTGGACAATTCTTTATTATAAAAATAGGATATTGTGCAAAGTTAGTTAGAAAAGCATTTTGACAGGTAAGTGTTTAGATGAGAGAAAGTGCTTTAATGATAAAATGTTTTGTCAGGAAAATGCTATATATCTAAATAGTATAGAGGAAGAAAAATATAATCTGTAAATTATCCCAAAGTCTGAGCTGAAGTACACAAAATTTATTATATATTATATTCTGATTAAGAATGTCATACATTTCTTTTTCAACAGAAAGTTTTACGAGAAGAGATCAAGGATAAATTTAAATATGAGGTTGACAGAACATCTCCTAGCAACAAGATTAGAGACTTCATGGACTGGTCCAGTGATATTATCAAAGACATCAAGTACCAGAGAAGAGTGTATGCAAATCCAGTCGGACGCTTACTAGTCAATGCATGGTATGATATAGATCTATGTTTCTTCTGACATGACAGGAATAATCTCTTTGGCAGTAAATCTCAAAAAAATTATTTGCTACTTTTCATTTTGAGTCTTGTGTTGTGATTGAACAACTAGACTGTAACTTTAGCAAGAAATATTTCTTTGTAAAAGAAAAAGCAGAACTGAAAAATTATGGGTAAATATGAACAGTTAGATTTAACCTTTTTTTTAGATGTGTCCAATAATATTGGAAAATTACATTTGTTGAGAATTACGTATTTTTTATTTTTTACGTAATTCTCAACAAATGTAATTTTCCATTAATTATTGGACACATCTGAAAAAAGGTTAAATCTGTAGGTTGGCTGTAGGTTGGCTTGCTAAGCTCCATGCTATTGTATATATTTTCGTTTATTGGTATTATACCATTAGAGAGATATGTACAAGTCTAGTGTTTCAGCTGCCTGCTTCTCAGCCTATTGATTGTGGGGTTTTAAGCCCAACATGGTTGCTACTATGCTCCTCATATTGAGCCGCGCCAGGACAAAACCAACATAGTGGGTTTGCAACCATCATGGATCCAGAACAGCCTGCACATCCGTGCAGTCTGATCAGGATGCATGCTGTTCGCAATCAGATTCTCTACTTGTAATAGGGTTTGTAAGCGAACAGCATGGATTTCTGATCAGACTGGGCGGTTGCGCAGGCTGGTCTGGATCCATGCTGGTCGCAAACGCACTATGTTGGTTTTGTTGTGACCCGGCTCATATTACAACGCTAATGGCTTTGTTCAAGGAAATGAACTAGATGGTGACTCATATAAGCTTCAAGCTACATGACCACCAAGCTAAAATAAATATGTTTACACTAATTGGTTAAAGACTGATATGTTTAATGCCAAATACTTTGCCTCTAATGTAATACTTTTGCGGGTACATGTAGGTATCTTCAATTGTCTTATGTATCACAGACAAACTTTGATTTCTGATTACCCATTTTCACTCTAAATGTACCTTATTTTGCAGGATTTGGATACCAGCAAATTGCAATATCAGTTTAAATGTTGATTTTATTGATTACCTTGAAATTGTATTATTATGTCATTTTAAATGTGCTTGCTTTTTCAGGTTACCTTTGAATTACTTTGTTATGTTTATTACTCTTACAATAACTGTGGTTATGCTTGTAACTGTGGAGGAAGGTCCATCTAGCGACCCTTTGTAAGTCTAACATCGTATTCCCATTGTCTCAAACTTTTGACTCTTTCTCAGCAGTATTGGCAATTTTGTTTCGCTTGTGAGGGGGTACAATTTGTGTAGGGATATGCTGCTATCTGGCATGACCAACCAGTATAGTTAAGCAAGTCTTTTGGCTGGTAAATGTTAATATCAACACAATGACATGAATCCTTATTGACACATTCAAAATTTAAAGCTGTACAAACTCCATTCAGCATGTTCGAGACATCGTGTTTGGAGGAGGAGAATGAAATTTAAGTGTAATTTACCTGATTTTTCGTCTGAAAATATTGGTTTTGGATCAATATAAATATTGTTTTGATGAAGAACTTCATACAAACATGTTAATCAAAATTATACAATACTGTATTGAAAGAGAGTCACAAGTTTCATTTTAGTATCATTCAAATTTATTGTTTACATTTAAATATGATGTTTTACATGTGAAATTTTAGGTTACCACTAAACTACAGTATGATGTTAATAACGTTGGCCATATCCATTATAATCATGGTAACTTGGGAAGAGGGGACAACCTCAACTCCAAGGTTTGACTGTAACAAGTTTTGGTGTGCAGATTTTAAAACAAAATGCACATGCTGTAGAAAAGCTTTCTGTTTGCTTTCTGCTTGTAGTTTATATTTAGGCTACGACTAATGCCAACCAACTTTGATGTATCTTTCTGTTATCTGACACTGAAATATTGCTCTGCATTATTCATTTATTTATTTTCTTTAAAAATCTTTCTAGCTTTTCGCAAGCTTCTTTCAAATTATGCATTCAGCACATTCATTGGATAAGCTTTTTATGCACCTGGCCAAAGCTTTTGGAATATAACGTTATATTATGCACCATGTCACCCTTCATTCTATGTGTTTGCAATTGTGTCCGTTCTCAGGAGGGACATATTGTCACAGTATCTTTTGAAATGATTGAAAGAAAATTGAAAGGTTTTGGAAAAAACTTAACTTTTAACGAAACGATGAGGAAAATGCAAATTTGGGTTTCCTCAGATCAAAATTGGCCCACTCCTGTCTTCACTTTTATAATAAACTTATATAGGCAAAACACGTTTAAGTCTAATTGTGTAAAACTTTTCCCAGAGCAGTGACTTGTTCATTGAATGCCGCCTTTCTGTTTTGATCTTGTTTATCATATTGTAGACCTTCATGTAACTGATATATACTATGACCCTTTGGTCAACATTTTGTCCAGCTCAAGGGGTCACTTATAATTAGTTATTAGACATATATTGGTAGTAGGGATACTTAAATGCCCAGAGTATCATGTTAATCTTCATAATATATAATTATGACCCCTTGGGTGGGTCTAATTTTTCTCTTGGGCCAAGATTTATAAAACTTTTGTAACAGTCCACTAAGCAATGCTCAGAGCTGATATGTTTGGCAGGAGCTTTCTAAAAAAGTGTCATTGATCATTAACCTAGGATCAAATTGTCCCATTCTAAGGTTATTTCTATCAATAGAACAATAAGATAAAATATTTTTTCGGACAAGATTCGTGAATGGGTGTCTTCCTTAATTAAAGATTATTTTGATTACTCAATTTTATTTGGGTATATTTGTGGTGTGTAAGATTATTTTGATAACTCAATTTTATTTGGGTGTATTTGTGGTGTCTAAGATTATTTTGTTAACTCCATTTTTTTGGGGTGTATTTGTGGTGGTCTTGTTGTAAATAGTTTTTTTCTGTCTGACATGCACTCTTTGGAAAGAAAACATTTTAACCCTTTCCCTCATGAGCATATTGTGAAAAATGGCCGTTTTCACTGAAAAGCCTCCTGTTACAAGTTCAAACTGCTATGAAACTATGAAAAATGCTTCAATACTAATCAAACTTGGCACAAATGTTGACTGGACCATTGCCTTTGTAACGACATGCTCAGTCTTAAATTTTCTGTGACCATGGCAACGAGGGGACATCTCAAAATTGCCAAAAATCACTATTTTGCCTCGATTTTTCCCATCAAAATTTATTTCAAAGTGCTTCAACTTCTTAAGGGATTGAGATAGAGTCAAAGGCTTTTCAGCGTTATTTACACGTTACCTTATGATCGACCTGGGGTCATTTTTAGCCTCTCACAAGTCCAAAATTTTCTTGGCAATGAGGGGGACTCCTCCCCCCTTCAAACCCCCCAAACAGAAGGGGGCACATCCCTGGCAACCCCCTGATGTATCTTTTGGATGGGGGGCGGCGCCAAAAAAGTGCTCACATTTTTTAGCAACATTTCTAAAAAAAGGCTATTTAAGAAAAATCTTGAAATTGTCTTAATTGCCAAAGTTCGATAGAAAAAAAAATAGACATAAAAAAATTAGATAATTCTTATTGTCTATTTGTAATTTTATAAACCATCTTCATCAAGTTCTGTTTTTGTCATGATTTTAGCTGCAATGTTTAAATTGTTGTTGTTTTTAGCTCACCTGTCACAAAGTGACAAGGTGAGCTTTTGTGATTATAATTTGTCTGGCGTCCATCCGTAAACATTTTCTTTCATAAACAACTAAGCCAATTTCATGCAAACTTCACAGGAATACTCCTTTGGTGATCACCTTGTTCAAAGAATTTAATTCCATGCAGAACTCTGGTAGCCATGGCAACCAAAAGAATAAACTCAATAGATTTTCTTTTAAAAAACCCAAAGAGCTAGAGCTTAGATATTGGCATAAAATATCTTCTAGTGAGTGTCTACCAAGTTTGTTCGGATAAAAGCCCTGAGGTCTAAATAAGCTCCGCCCCGTGGGGTCATTGATTTTCTTTATATGTACACATCTTTTGGAACTGTTGTTTCTCTTAGCAATTGCAACCAGTAATGTTTTTACACATGCACTATTTAAAATACAAATATGAACTTTGTGATATCAGTTTATTACTTAAGATTTAGATTTTATATCTGCTTTTGTTTATAATTTACAATATTACTTGTTCCTTGTCATGGAGAGTTTCTATATTCATGTGAGTGATTTCAGGGCCATGATGGCCCTCTTGTTTGTTTGTTTGTTTTTTTCCAAATGATTAATGTTTGCTGTTTTTAGAGGAGTACTTTATTCTTAACTATATTCGTGCATACATAGAAATGACTCTGTAAAGTATATAAGAATTTAATTTATATTGTCATTAAAGCTTATCTTAGGGCTTTAATTATAGAAAGCTGTCTAGTAACAAAGCAAATTCAGACTTAAATGTATTGTTTTGCATTGTAATGCTGTTGGGTGATGGGTGTGGTTTTTGTTTGAATGAACATAATTAAGTAAAAAGACATACTTTTATTGATAATATTATACAACAAATAAGATACCAGCTAGTAATTTTCAAGCAGAACAATTGAGTTAACACCACCAGTTCACAATTTTTCTATATATTGTTTATTGAGGGTGTAATTGGTACAAAACAGTAATTTTAACTCATATAAACATAAAGATAAAGATGTGTCTGTTTGTCACCAAAGCCTTGGTTTATAATATATAAAGCATATACAGAAATTTCTGTCATTAAGGTAACACTGCATTGTATTGAGACATAATACATAATTCATAAAACTTTACAGTGAATTTTAAATACACAAATGAGCCATGTCTTGACAAAACCAACATAATGGATTTGCGACCAGCATGGATCCAGACCAGCCTGCGCACCTGCGCAGTCTGATCAGGATCCATGCTGTTCGCTATCGGTTTCTCTACTTGTTATAGAGTTTGTCAGCGAACAGCATGGATCCTGATCAGACTGCACGGATGTGCAGGCTGGTCTGGATCCATGCTGGTCGCAAACACACTATGTTGGTTTTGTCATGACACGGCTCAAATGTTTTTTTTTTTTTAAATATACATAACCTTCACTACAATCAAGCTGAAATATTTAAATTTTCAAACTCAAGAACAAAAATCAATACCTGAGAGAATATTATGCTTTTATTGACTTATCAATAATTCTTTCAGATATAAGCCTTCCTACAGATACAACAATGCTGGTACAGCAATCTACGTCCTTGGAGCAATACACAACTTCCTGTCTCTGGGGATATTCTTTAGTTATGTTATATCCAACAGACCGACCTTTCCCTCATTCTCTGATATTGTCAGTGTTTGCAAGTGAGTATATTGCTTTTTTCAGCGTCGGTCATAATATGTATTATATAATTATAGATTCATTACTGTTTAATTTACTATAATAATTTAGCAAGTTACAAATAGTTTCTTATTCTATCTAAGTGCCAGTCCATGCCAGAAATTGTCCTTTTCTTAAGTACCAGCCCTTGTCAAATATCTGTAGAACTTCATATGAAAATTGTACTAGTGCTAAGATTTTCATAACCCATTGTTGGTTTTCTGTGACTATGCTCTATAAAATATTTACATGTGGATAAATTCCGAAATACTGGTGACGATGTTTTTGATGATAATGATGGACATGTTGAAGATCTTGACGATAAAGTTATGATGATGATGATGATGGTTGTGATGTTTTTGATAGTAATAATGATGAATGATTGAGATGGTGGTCATTAAGATAAGATGATGATGATGATTTTTAACAATAATGAGGATGGTCATGATGATGTCGAGGAGGAGGATAAAGTTTGATGATGATGTTAACTGATTGATTGGATATGATGATGTTAACTGATTGATTGATTCGTTTTAGGAGAGGTGATGATGAGGATGATGATGATGACAGAGGGTGGAGTGAGAAGAAAGGGGAGTCCCATCTAGAAGTCAAGGCATATGGTTTCAAAACAATCTACTATGTTGTAAGTTATGTCCCTTGATATTAATAAGCTCCATAGTATATTGAACTTGTATTTTGGTGTTTATTTCTTTGCTGTATTTAACTGATGAATATATTTTTAATGTGCTCTTGTGGTTAAGTAAATGAAAAACAGTTTTTGTTGTATCCGTTTCCATTAATCATTCATAAATGTTTTAAATACTTCACTAAAATAGAATGAATTTTCTTTTCTAGATGGAAAATTTCATGAATTAAAATTTACTTTTTCATAAAGTTAAGCACATGATTGTAGTTTGAATTTAGTATTCATAGGTCAAAATATTTAAAAAATCTCTTTGTCGTAATGATTTTAGTTATTCTCTTATATGTTCCTTTTTATACGCTGTATTATAGTTTTCCCTCTGGCGGGCGAGTGGGAGGGAGGGCGGACCGCGTCCAATTTTTGTCCAGAGCATAATTATCACCTACACCAATTGAGGAATTTTAATGAAACTTCATAGAAATGTTCATCACTATAAGAAGCAGTGTTGGGCGCATGAAACAGGCCCCTATGTCAGAGGTCAAGGTCACACTTAGAGGTCATTGAAAAATACTTGTCCAGAGCAAAACTTCTACATGCATAGAGGGATTTCAATATAAATTGGCACAAATGTTAAATATTGTAAGGCAGAGAGTGTAGTGTGCAAAATTTAAGTCCCTGCATCCAAGGTCAAGGTCACACTTAGAGGTCATTGAAAAATGCTTGTCCGGAGCAAAACTTCTACATGTATAAAGGGATTGCAATATAACTTGGCACAAATGTTAACTATTGTGAGGTGGAATGTCCAGTGCAAAATTTAGGTCCCTGTGGCTAGGGTTAAGGTCACACATAGGGTCAAATATCAGATAAAAAATAACTAAAGATGATAATATAACCAGATATTCCAGAGCATATCTCCTAAATGCATATCTATAATGCCAACATCTCTGTCAAAAGCTGTTACGGGCGTATATTGTGACATTGTTGCCCTTGTTGTGATTACCAAAGATTTATTACCAAATACCAATCAGATATTTCAACATCATTTTAATAATGATATTTTTCAGCTATTTTTGGGCTGTTCAATAGCTGGGACATTTACAGATGGTTATTTCTTTGCCTTTCACTTACTGCATATAACTGAGATGAATCAGCTGTTGAAACGAGTCATCCAAGCTGTAACCACAAATGGTAAGATCTTAACATAATATTGCTATATGTCAAAATCATGCTAATCATATCTGATATGAAACGATGATAAAATGAGCCATGTCACAACAAAACCAACATAGTGCGTTTGCGACCAGCATGGATCCAGACCAGCCTGCGCATCCGCGCAGTCTGATCAGGATCCATGCTGTTTGCTAACCAACCCTTTTAAAAGTAGAGAAACTGATAGCGAACAGCATGGATCCCGATCAGACTGTGCGGATGCGCAGGCTGGTCTGGATCCATGCTGGTTGCAAACGCATTATGTTGGTTTTGTCGTGACGCAGCTCAAATGTTAAGTAGATAAAGAAAGATAATGACTTACATATAGTTACACTTGCATTGTTTTCAACAGTCCTTTTCTGAAGAGTTCAGTCTCACACTGACAACAGTTTATTGTCTGATAAGGCTGACCTTGCTATACTGATTGCCTAGGTCTGTTTGTATTTTGAGAGCCCTTAATCTATTTTGAATGGGTTCATACAACGAATACAAAGAATGCAATATGAATTACTTCTTATATTTTCAATATGCCACTGCAACATCTTTGAAATGGTTGCATGTAACAGTTGACATGTGACCTCTGCCCAGGTACACAAAGTTTTATATAGAGACATTAAAGAAATATCATATTACATGTATATCTGTGTTTTGCTTCATGTGCTAAAATATTTACTGTTTGTTCCTTCTTTACATCAATCAATAGTGATGGGGCTATGTCCGGCATCCATTGGCTGCGTAATGTGTTGTGCGTCATGCCTCGTCAATAATTGGGTTGTTAACACTCTAGCAGTCACAGTTTTGAATGAATAATAATCAAACTTTGTCAAAATGTTTGTCTCAATAGAATACAGACCAAGTTCGAATGTGGGTCATCTCCGGTCAAAAAATAGGTCACAGGAGCTAAAAAATAGAAAAATCTTGTTAACACTCTAGTGGCTGCATTTTTATTCAAGTATCTTGGAAATTGTTCAGGAAGGTTGTTTAGATGATTTCTAAGTGAAGTTTGAATATGGATCATCTCCGGCCAAAAACTAGGCCACAGGAGCTAAAAATAGAAAAATCTTGTTAACACTCTAGTGGCTGCATTTTTATTCAAGTATCTTGGAAATTGTTCAGGAAGGTTGTTTAGATGATTTCTAAGTGAAGTTTGAATATGGATCATCTCCGGCCAAAAACTAGGCCACAGGAGCTAAAAATAGAAAAATCTTGTTAACACTCTAGTGGCTGCATTTTTATTCAAGTATCTTGGAAATTGTTCAGGAAGGTTGTTTAGATGATTTCTAAGTGAAGTTTGAATATGGATCATCTCCGGCCAAAAACTAGGCCACAGGAGCGCTAAAAATAGAAAAATCTTGTTAATGCTCTAGTGGCTGCAGTTTTGACCCAAATATTCTGGAAATTTGTAAGGAAGGTTGTTTTGATAATATCTAGGTCAAGTTTGAATATGGGTTGTCTCCAGTCAAAAAACAAGGTCACAGGAGCTAAAAATAGAAAAATCTTGTTAACACAGTAGTGGCTGCATTTTTAATCCAAATATCCTGGAAATTGTCAGGAAGGTTGTTTTGATGATTTGAAGGTCAAGTTTGAATATGGGGCATCTCCGGTCTAAAACTAGGTCAAAGGAGCTAAAAAGAGAACAATCTTGTTAACACTCTAGTGGCTACTGTTTTTATCCAACTATCCTGGAAATTGGTCTGAAAATTTGTTTCGATGATTTGTTGGTCAAGTTCGAATAAGGGTCACCTGGATTCAAAATTTAGGTCACACTGCCCAAATATGGAAAAACGTTGTTAATACTCTAATGGTAACATTTTTGACTCAATTGTCATAAAACTTCGTCAGGATGCTTACCTCATTAATTGCTTGAAGGAGTTCGAACATGGGTCATCTCTGATGTAAAACTAGGTCACAGGAGCTAAAAAAAGAAAAATATTGTGAACTCTAGTGGCTACGATGTTATCCAAATATCATGGAAATTGGTCTACAAGTTTGTTTTGATGATTTCTAGGTCAAGTTTGAATATGGGTCACCTGGGGTCAAAAACCAGGTCACACAGCCCAAATATGGATAAATCTTGTTAACACTCTAAAGGTCACATTTTTTACTCAATTGTCATCAAACTTGGTCAGGATGCTTGTCTAAGACATTGCTTGGATGATGTCAATGGTCAGGGGAGCGATCTTTGCCCTCTATTTTCTGTCATTTATCAGTGCTTTACAATGCGTTTGGCATTACATTTTCAAATTTTAGCCTTGTTATTTTAGTTATTTGACTGTAAAGTTTAACAAAAAGGTTAAACTCTCTTATAGATGTTTGTTTTTGTAATAAATATGTTATAAGTGGCATTATTTTGCCCGAACTGAAAGATGTCCTAGAAATATTACATTCTATGATCATGTCAATTCAGCTTAAATGTATGGCATGACAAAATTCTATCATCATGCATTTTCAATTTTCATATCCATAATGTCATAATTATATTTTGTATTATATTTTTGTCCAATACTTTTGTTTGTTTTTGTATGGATTAATTTTAACCATAGATTATTTCAGAATTTATAGGAGACAGAATATTGGAACATTTTCTAAGGATTGTATTGACATCTTAACTCTGAAGAATTAGTGATCTAGTCCTTTGCATTACCGAAGTTGAAAATCACATGATCTAAATGTGTTTGATAATCATAAAACTATTAAGTTTCCAAATTTTACATAGAATATGTACAAATGATCTTGCTGAAAATGTCTTTTTATTTTCAATGAAGCCAGCATGCGTTCATCTTTTTTCTTCAATGTAACAAACCATTTAAGACCATGTGATTTTTACAGCTGTGAATAATTATGATTTACATATGTAATAATTTTTCAAATGTTTCATGATACAGGTAAATCCCTGATGTTGGTAGCTCTACTTGGTTTAGCAATATTTTACATCTATTCCCTTATACTGTTTGCATTCTATTCGGAAACATTTTGGAATGCGTCAAATGGTCGACATTGTCGGACAGTATATGAATGCTTCGTATCCGTGTTACATCATGGATTTGTTGAAGGACCATATACGGTATAGCATATACATGAGTGAGAGGGAAAATAGAATTGTATTAGTATTAGTCAAAGGTTTCACATTCTCTATGATATTTTGCTAATCAAAACTTAAGGAAATAATGTCTTTTATTTAAAGATGCATTTATCCACTTCACTCGTAAATTCAAATTCCTGACTTAAATGAATTAATTTTCAGCTGATTGAGCTGAAATGCTATTCCTTGTTTTGAAAGTAGCAAAATATCATTAAAACTTATAGAGACAACTGAAAGCTTTGGTATTAACATGCACTTTGCAAGTGAATGAATTGTTTTATGCAGTACACACAGCAGCTTTATATAATGATACCCTTAGCCAAAGTTCTAACTGGTCACCCTTTATAATGCATTATTACTGTTTGGAGTGCACATACTCACTATTTCAGAAACAAATTTTCATACATGTATTAAAATCATCCGTGCATAACCAAGAAAATAAAATGCAAACATATTTCAATCATGTGCCAGCAAAAAGAAATGGTGCTTGTGTTAAAAAATGCGCCCGATAAAATGTCATGGCTCTCTCAAGTTATATAACTGTATTTACAATGTTTTTGCAATTTCTCTGTCCCTAACTCAGTGAATGGGTAAACCTATTTTGAAAAACAATTACTGACAAGAATCTGGGCCGGGGACATTTGTGTTTACCAAATACATAGTTATGAAATTTTCACATAACCTGCAAAATGAATTGACTGGGGTGATCTATTTTATTCTTATTTATTTCCTGGAACTACTTCTATGAAAAAATATTTGTGACCAATTAGAAATTTGTCTCGGTGTATTATATATACAAAAGCTACAATATGCATATCCAGTTAACCGTAATTATTGATAGAATAGATATACACATGTAAGTATTACTGTATGTAAATTCACTACACTCCTCCCCAAAGGTACACATTCTTCACCTAATGTACTGCGTAATCTATTGTTGCCTTGCAAAGATTCTATTTATAGATATTATGCAATTATTTCAGGTCGGTCATTGATGCTAGTTGGACTGCTAGGTCTAGCTATTTTCTACATTTACTCCTTGCTACTCTTTGCATTTTATTCTGAGGTGTTGTGGTCCAGTGATAACGGAAGACATTGCAGGACTGTTTATGAATGTTTTGTCTCAATTCTTCATCATGGACTCGTGGATAGTCCGTATGCGGTAAATGCCGTGAAACAAATTAAAGTTCTTCCATCTGATTGCCTGAAATGCTTATATATGTCTGTGATGTCCCAAAAATATTGTTTCTTGACATGTACAGTTCTGTCTACGTCATATGTTCAACCCTTTCCATGCTACTTTAATTAATGCACTTGTCCTGTTTCGAATTAGTTACTTCCCTTTGTTCATCTATCAGAACACTAGAAAAACTTAGCAGTCAATACTGCAGTGTCTTGTCCGACTGCATGTTACGGTTTGTATAATATATGCGGGCTGACTTAACTCTCGGACAATGGTTTTTATTCTTTTGTCTCTAATCACTGATTCAGAAGTCATGTGGGATAAATAGTCGTTTATTTACTTTAAAATTGGTAACTACTGGTTTGCTAATTCCTGGAAAGTCAGTTAGGAGGATCCACCATAGAGAGATGACCAACATAAATGTTTTAATATTGGCATAAAAGTTGAAAACACAAAACAAACAAATATACAACTAAACTGAACTAGTGATAAACTGGTAATTGAGTATTACTTCTTGCATGTAAAGGGTTAAGACTGTTACGTAACTTTTGTGCAAGATTGCTGTATTGTTTTATTGTAGCTCAATGCAGTAAGTGTAGTGATATTATTGGAAAGGAAATTTAATTTGAGTGACGCATAAAACATTGTTTTTTTTAATCGATTTGAAGTACAATGAAAAACAAAACTGAGGTGTAAGATAGAAAGCTTTCAGGTACAGCTGCTGCTATTTAGTGAAATACATGTTTCTGAATATAAAACAGAATAATATTCATAATTAGTAAAATAGGTTACTTTAGCTTTAGATTTATACATGGTAAAGTCAACTTACTCAATTAACAATGTCAATTGCTAGTAAAATACTGTGTTAACAAATTAACACTGTCATAATTAGTAGAATGGTCATTTGATCTATATTTGGGGTCAATTCAAGTTTCCTGTTCATTCCTCATAAATTCTTTACTCTACTTGAAACTATTATTATACAGCTGGAAGTTTAAGGAACAGAACAGAAAAAAACGGGAAAAAAACGAAAAATTAAACTTGCATTTTTTCTACAAGATTAAGGTTACACTTTTGTAGCTAGACGGAAAACAGACTTGTTACTGAGAGTGCTCAGCTGAACGTTGATCTGATTGGCAATTCTAGTGGCTAGAACATTGAACATCATTGAAAAAATTTCCAAATAAACTGCCTAGTGTGGCTTTTTTATTTTTGCAGTGTGTGCTTTTGTGACAAACTTGAAGTGATTTGATGAGCAAAATGTCTTATTTGCAGTTTGGTGACGACGAAAAGAAAATCCATTTTGTGGAATATTTTTTATAAGAAAGGATTTGGCTTGCGTGAAGATTTGTGTTACAATTCAATGTGTAACTTTTCAGGAAAATCGTTGATGTTGGTTGCACTCCTTGGTTTGGCAATATTTTACATATACTCTCTGGTATTGTTTGCGTTCTATAGAGATTGGATGTGGTCAAGAGATGATGGACGTCATTGTACGACAATTTACGAATGTTTCGTATCTATTTTGCATCATGGACTAGTGGAAGGTCCCTACACGGTGAATAGGAATCAAAGTTTTTAAAATCATAATCGATTTATAAAGATTTCATATTTATAAAATTCTAATTTTATAAGATTCTAACTTTTGGAAACATTTATACACTGAAAACATTGGAAGATTAAATGGGGCTCTTACTGGTTTGCTAGTGTTTAAAATACCTAAAAATTGAAAATCTGACTGTATATCTTTGTTAAAAAACCATTGTTAAAAAAACCATTAGAAATAGACAGAAAATAATTTATGGAGTCCTTTAAGCCTTAAATGTTTAGCATAACAATATATTACCTTTATCTTGCTTAATGTTATGATATCTAACTAAATTTAAGGTTTATTTCAGTACAGAGCAATATGCTCATTAATAAACTTAGCAGATTCAACTTTTTGCACTTAAATTTCTAATTCCAATACAAGCTGCGTAAGAAATATAATTATAGAATGTATGCTGAAATTAAGTGCTTTTTATAGTCACGGCCACAACATCAAAGATGAACTACTTTCATGTATTCGTCACACTGTGTCTTCTGCTTTATGACCTTTTACACCCTTGGTGCTGGTTTTTGCTTTTTGTTTTACTGCCAAAATATAGGAAACCCATTTCAAAAATAATATCAACATATTATGATTGGTATTACAGAAGAACTAGCTTTATTTCAAGTTTCAGTAGGTTATAAGATACAGGTTTATAAAAAAAATGAAAGGTAAAATAGAAGCTTATAGGGCGCCTGATATGTCAATGTTAAAATGTCTAAGGCTTTGTTAGATTTAATCAAATGATTATAACATGCTTGTCGTTATATAGAAATAACAAAATAAAATGATATACATGTATGAAATTTTGAAAGTATCAATCAGTAATTTGTATTTTAATTTTATTAAGTTTCAAAGCTAATTGGTGTCATCCATTTTTATGTATGTATATTTAAATCTATATTTTTTACATCAGTTCATGAAATAATGTAAGAAAACTTATGGTTTGGTTAGGTATCATATTTATATTTATTTGCCTTTTTGTACTGTTTCTTTGAATTTTTAAAAAAAAATGAAACTCTGGAAAAAGGGTTATCTCTTCAGAAGTATTAAAAAACAACAAAATTCGATGATAATTGCAGACTCTTTGTGTCTGTACATAAACCTATTTACACTTTTATTTATTTTTCTGGAAATGATTTTATTCTTTTAATGATTTATGAAATATAATTATGTATATAAGTTAAGTATCTAATTGTAATATTATAGATAATTCTTGCATTACTACCTTTAATCTTATACCGGTAATACAAATTGAAAGAATGCTTTTTTTATACCTTAATTAAAACTTTTATAGTATTTAATGATTTAATAATTTAAGTAATTCTAAGTACTTTATAAGTACTTTTCAAGAAATTTATAAAATATGTTAAATGCCTTAAATTTCAATGTGCTGATACAACTTTTAGACTTAATTTAAAGTTTATAAACGTTTGACCTGCATGAAATTGCCTATATTTGTCCTATTAACATAAATTTTGTCATATTTTAGCAATTTGAAGGCCAGATGACAAGTGATTTTCCACAAGCAATTGGTATAACGTTCTTTGATGTTTCATTCTTCATTCTCATCACGACCATCGGTCTCAACATAATCTTCGGTATCATTGTCGATACCTTCTCTCAACTCAGAGATTCCAAGGTAATCATTTTGTTTTCCTTATATTTATCGTGGTATACATGATATTATTTTACTTCAGAGCAATTAATCGCCTTCAAATATTTCTCCAATTTATTGATTGCAAGATAATTATTGATGATATTGATTTTAACAGCCACCGGAAAATCTTTGCACCACCGGGAAAGTGGCAAACTTCACTACCATTTATACTTGCCCTAAACACTTAAAAATCATTTCATCCGATAGATTTAAGGCTAATTATAAATAATTGACTTCATTTAAAGCTATTTCAAAAAATTTTCTTGTCAAAAATTGTATTTTAAAAAATTTGTACGGGCGGAATTTTATGTATTCCGCCCGGAATTATGCTGTCCGGGCGGAATTAACTTATATTCCAATTGGAATTTTTTCCAACATTTTTATTTATTCCACCGGGAATTTCAATTTTTCCAGCAACTCTTAAACTATAAAAATCACCATTAATACATCCTGTAATGACTTTCTGACTAGTTTTGAAGAACTTATTTGCTAAGATAAAAAAAAATCCCATTTTTAAAGCTGGAAAAAATTCCGACTGGATTTTTACAGAAAAAATTTAAAAAGTATAAAAACGATAATAATTAAAGGCAAATGATAGTTTTCGATAGAAATTAACACAATTATACACGCTGAATTACCAATAAGGTGTTTTGAAAAAAATGAAAATCCAATTGGATTTATTTCCAATTATTTTTGCTGGAAAAATTTCCAACTGGAATTTTTTCCAATAAAAGTTATTGGAAAAAAATCCAATTGGATTTGCCTCAATTGATTCATTTTCAAATGATTCAACAGTTATCCGTTTGATTAATGGTCATTGTTTTTCCTCAGTTGCTAATTGGTTAAAGCCGCTGACTTGAAATCACTCAACCCTCACCAATGTGAATTAGTTTCCATTCAGGGAAGATCAATGATTCTACCTTTAATGCCTGAAATAATAGAACAAGGACCCTGATATATCTTCCTCGATCATTGAAAATGGCCATGGATGTGCTGTGTCTGTGTAACTTAAAAATCTTGTAATACTGCTCTTCATTAAGAGATTTGACATTAGAGATAAATGGATTGGTTTCCATTATTAAAACTTTACTTGGTTTTTAAAGCAAGAGCTGCATGCTTACAACATGCTTACAACATGCTTATGCAGTTTTACCTAACTTTTAATCTGTTTACTGCTTTACCTTTTAATTTTAATTTTTGATAATTTAATCCATTTCAAAAAAAGTAAATTGTTCCAAATATGGCCGAGTCTGTTATACAAATAGTGTTGAATTGGTGTTGTGTTGCATATCGTAATACAAAAAAAAAAGAGAATTGAGACATATTTTTTGAGAATAAATTTGATGTATGTATGTTACAAATATTTTTTGGTAATGTATTGTACTATTGTACTTTTTCAGTGGGAGATTGACAAAGACATGCAGAATAACTGTTTCATATGCAGCAGAGAAAGTTATGACTTTGAGAGACAAGGCGGGGTGAGGACAATTTACATTTTGAGATAAAATAGTTCATATGATGTTAAAATTTGTCATTATTTTCGTTTTCTAGGATTTCCTTTATTGAATTGTTTATAATAATGCCCTTCTGTTCGCCCTTTTGTCCCGTGAAAGGCTCCTTGCCGGTGGTCCTGTGTCGCTGGTGTTTATTTGGGGATGCCTTCATTGAATGCCACCCTCTATTGTTAAATTTTGTTTTTATATTTCTGTATGTTATTAAATGAGAAGAAAATACTGCATGTGGTCCATTACTTGTATATATGTTAAGGTAAGTAATGTCTAAGCCGAGGGGTTATTATAAGTTGCTTTGCCACACTCACTTTCCTCTTGTTGATAACATGTCCAATCCCATAATGTATGTGGAATCTTAAATTGGTGAAAGCTTTCCATGTAACTTGTATAGATGGCTGTCAGTTCTTCTGTACAATAGATAATATAAAGAGAGTCTCCATGATTTAAAATGTTGTCATATACCATTAGATTATATGGCTTGAACTTAACCAAACATATGTTAAAAATAAACTATTGATGCCGGACATCAAATCATTGCAGAAGGTTCAAAAATGTATTTTGGAGGAATAAAACATTAAATAACATTAAATATTGGTTTTAAAATAAAGTACATAGAAAGAAATATCAGCCAAAAATTAAAATCGTTGCCACATGAAGAGATGCAAAGAAGATCATATAATTGCTTATACATTGTAGGTAAAATATATAAAATAGAATATCTGTATAAATACTTCAACTTATTGAAACTTCATCCTAATTGCCTTAATATGTTTTTGTTCTTGTAGACTAAGTCCTACAGCTGTGTACACTTTCACAATTTGTTCCTGTATTCCAGTTATATAGAATTATATTATCAATTAGGGACAGATGAATGTATTTGATATGCAATGTTATTTATTTGTTTGATTACAGGGTTTTCAGAAACATGTTAAAAGTGAGCATTACCAATGGGCTTATCTGTTTTTCTTCATACATCTTGACGAGACAAGACCTAATGATTACTCTGCATTAGAGCTTTACGTCTACAAACAGGTATGTAATATGAAATGTCATGAAAGTATTAAAGTCTGTGTTAAATATAAAACGAACAAAATATTCTCTTAAGCTTTGTGCGATGTCCAAGTTAATATTGTTCAGGATCTAACAGTAGTTTCAAGCAATGTTGGTATATATGGTCTTTCAAAGTATGTTTCAAGAGTTCATGACTTGCATGTTTCTCTGACCCTCTCTCTTTGTGTGACTGGATATATATTGTTCGAAACAATGACCCTTTTGTAAACATTGCATGCCCTGTCGTGATGTACTTTGTTTTCCAATTTTTGACTTTATTACTACCAGTAATTCAAAAAAATTTAATTTCAGCTGATGACAAACAATTTTGATTTTTTCCCGTTGAATCGTGCTCTCAGTCTGGAGAATGAGGAAGATACTAACGAACAAAGAATGGAACATCTACAACAACAAATAGACTATCTCGTTTCCAAGATGAAAGATCAGGTATAGTTTTCTTTTATATATTAAAGAAATCTGCAAAAGTATTACCATAACTAAATATCAGGTTCTCCTTTGTAATGAAATTAATTCTTGTTGTCAGTTCCTACATTAGGAAAACCTTTTGAACAAATCTTTGTGTTTTAACAACAATTGCAAGTCCTCAAGAAATACCGTTTCTCTTTATTGATTAGATATCATGTTCCATGGTGCTTTATAAAATGCAATTTATTAGGATTTTTTTCTTGTAAAACATTTTTGCTAAAAGTAATATTGGACTGTTGTTTCTATGACGCAAAGATCAGGTGCATTTAGATATACATGCACGAGGGTTGTCCAAAAAATTCGTTTGCTGCAGTTATTGTCCTGTGAGTTATTGATAAAAACATGAATTATATATCATTTGAAGATGAAATCTGTCTCTAATAAGAAAACAAAAGAAAAAGCCGTGTAACCGGTGTGTCGTGAAAAAGAAACGTCAAACAGTAACCTTAGTAATGTAATACCGGCATATATATTTTCTTTAAAAAAAAAAAATTGATAATTTGGTCGATATAACTGTTAACGTACGTAAGATAAAATGGGCAAATCACTGCCACAAATCACTTGCTCACTATGTCTGCATATTTTGTTTTATGTGTAATTGTAGGAGGCTGATCAGGTGAGAGAGAAGGAGAAACAACGGCAACAAGAATGGGAAAGAACCCACAAGAAAAATGATAGGACAAATTATTAGTAGATATAAAACTTTATAGGGACTTTTACTTCAGAAAATACTCACAAAATATGTGATAGAGTAAATATAAAAAAATTGAAAATATTTTTATCATCATTTATCTCGAACTTTATAAAATAATGTTCGAATGGACAAATTGGACTTTTTCTACATAATGTTAACAACATGTGTTGGTGTTGTAAAAATGTCTTTGTAAAAAGGAAAACACCATATACTACATATTTGTTGAAGAAATAGGGTACTGGAGGAAATTCTTGTTAAGTAGCGGAGGGAGTGATATTTCGGTTAATTTAAAAAAAAGATACAAGAGTACTATTTTTTTCATATATACCACATTCATTAGAGTTGTCATTTAAGATAGATATACAATCATAAGGGTTTTGAATGTGAATATAAAGTATTTATCATTTTGGACTAAGCGATGACTTGTTTTTAATGAAATTACTCAGTAATTTATTACTGACATTTGTGTATGTTAAACGATCATACAGTTTGTTACCCCGCAAATATATGTGACAAGCCTTGAATAATATCAGATTGAGGTAATGTTTTTTTTATCAAAATAACCAAAATTGAGTTTGGCATCAGTTCAGGGCTTGGCCAAACTAAATGGACATACATGCGCGCTTCATACTGCATCATGTATAATACTTTTGGAATTCAATTTTGATAAACATTTTAATCCTGAAAAAGGGTTTAGATACTTTTTTCATCAAATTTCATTGCTTGGACTGATTTATGACAATCATATATGTGTCGATCTTAACCTCGTGCAGTATTAAATCTTACCCTAATCTTGGTCCCTCATTGTTATGTTGGCCCATTTACTATTTGACTCATCCCATGTTTTTGGTTATTTTTTGCAGAGAAAATCTGTAACCACTAATTCTATATTCTGTACAATTATCATGTTAAACCCTTTACAATTATTCTTTGAGTATTTAAACTAATTCATTTTTATATTATTTCTTTGTTCTAATTTTGAGGTATGACAATTTTACATTTGACCTTGGTATATATTTCTAAAATATAACTATATTTTGTAATGCTGCTCAAACCGTCAAATCAATGCTATATAAAATGATAAAGTAATACCTGCTAGGGCATTGGTATTCTACTATCATCAAATTGTTCATGATTACAACTACATGTGTATGGATGCTTGATTGATTTAAAATAAACATATTAATTGTCAGTGTGATATATAAAGTTTTCATAATTGTTATTTGCTGTGTTTTGATTTTATACCAGTCTGTCAGAATTTGTGGTGTATACGAGTATTTGTATAAACAGTGTACTCGTATCATTTAATTATTACATAAGCGTCCTTCTATTTTCCATTTGGATTATCTGTTAGTCAAATTAAACATATGTTTGTCATTACTTAGTCCTTTTTTCTATTATTTCTCCTGCATAAAGTTATTCTATTATTACTTTTGAACGTTTCATATTCAATCATTCCAGTTTCAGAATTTTTAGCACCCAACATTGCATAGACTTTGGGTCATTTCGGCTCTTTTTGACCTGTTTCCATGGAATTTTGGTAAAATATTCTTTCTCTAGATTCAAAATAGAAACATATTCTCTATCCTACCTGATGTTATCCAATTTCCCCTCTGACCTGAATTGATTTGTGTTTTTATTTTGACTTAAATAGATTTAATAAGCAACCATCTGCCTTATTTCAGTTCTATACTATGGATGGTACATTATTGTAACTCTGGAATGACTGTTTTTCTGTGTCGATCAGAGATACGTATATATATGACGATTTTTGTATTTGTTTCAAAACCCTAGTCTAAATTTGTATATTTGTTTTTATTTTGAAACAAAAATGATAGTTTTTAGACTGTGATATTTTGCATATAACTGTTTTGTACAGTATATTTATACCAGAACAAATATTTTATTTTACATTAATATGTCTATTTTTCTAATAATTGTGAAAATATTCTGTGTTGTGCATTGTTTTTATGATATATTTATTTATTTTTATCTGCTTGATAATGTACTTTTTACATAAGTAATCTAAAATATACATAGCAGATTTCAACTGGAAAAGCATCATTTGTTTTTGAAATTGAATATTCTATTTCAACATTTAAGACAACATATTATCTTTAATAAAAAAAATCGTTTTGGTAAATTACCAATTTTGTTTTCTTCCAGGCAATTATCATGTAATGAATGTTTAAAAAACATTTTATGCTAAATGAACTAGACTTTATTCACTTCCTTAACCATAACTGTTGTAAGTTGTGTTATATTGCGGTAAACTTTAGATTATTTTTATTATTTGATAAAATACATTTTTTACATTACTGTTGTATCAATGGTGAAGGGATTTTACAATGAGCATTAACCATTTCTTTGAATGCATTGGTTTTTTTTAAAGTAAGTATTAAATATTCAACCTTCATTTAATTTAATTTCATGAATAAATCCATTTTAATCATGTTCAATAAACGGTTTTGTTCATTTTTTTTATCTTCCTGAGGGTAACAATTGTGTATCTTGGATCAGTCCAATTTTGTGTTTTCATTGGTTAAATTACGAAATGTTGATTCAAAACAACCGATATCACGCCTTGTACTAACTTTTTTCTTCGATTTTTAATTTGACAGGTACGATTATATGTGCTAGTATATGAAATTGAATATTTATATATATATATTTACAATTATATGAATTGATAGAACAATATGTTTAAATCTCCCGATAGGTTACCACGGTAACAAACTTTTGAACTTGTTTGGTCAACAACTGTTTAGTTTAGTTTGTGGAATATATTTTTAGCTCACCTGTCATGAAGTGACAGGGTGAGCTTTTGTGATCGCTTTTCGTCCGGCGTCCGGCCGTCGTCCGTCCGTCCGTCGTCCGTAAACTTTTACTTTAAATGACATCTCCACATAAACCACTAAGCCAATTTCATTCAAACTTCACAGGAATGTTCCTTTGGTGGTCACCTTTGAAAATTGTTCAAAAATTTTAATTCCATGCAGAACTCTGGTTGCCATGGCAACCAAAAGAAAAAAAAACTTTAAATATCTTCTTCTAAAAAACCCAAAGAGCTAGAGCTTAGATATTTGGCATGAAACATCTTCTAGTGAGTGTCTACCAAGTTTGTTCAAATGAAAGCCCTGGGGTCAAAATTGGCCCCGCCCCAGGGGGTCATTGATTTTCCCTATATGCATATAGTAAAAAGTTAAAAAATCTTCTTTTAAAGAACCCAAAGAGCTAGAGCTAAGATATTAGCATGAAACATGTTCTAATGGATGTCTACCAAGTTTGTTCAAATAAGAGCCCTGGGGTCAAAATTGGCCTCGCCCCGGGGTCATTGATTTTCCTTATATGTGTATAGCAAAAACCTAAAAAATCTTCTTTAAAAACAACCAAATAGCTAGAGTTTAGATACTAAGCATGAAACATCTTCTAGTAAGTGTCTACCAAGTTTGTTGTAATAAAAGCCCTGGGGTCAAAATTGGCCCTGCCCCGGGGGTCATTCATTTTCCTCATATGTGTATAACAAAAACTTAAAAAATCTTCTTTGAAAAAACTCAAATAGCTAGAGTTTAGATAGTGCACGAAGCATCTTCTAGTGAGTGTCTACAAAGCTTTTTCAAATAAAAGCCCTGGGGTCAAAATTGGCCCCTCCCCGGGGGACATTGATTTTCCTTATATGTGTATAGCAAAAACTTAAAAATCTTCTTTGAAAAAACCCGAATAGCTAGAGTTTAGATATTAAGCATAAAACATTTTCTAGTAAGTGTCTACACAGATTGTTCAAATAAAAGCCCTTGGGTCAAAACTGGCCCTGCCCCAGGTGTGTCATTGTTTTTAACTATATGTTTTAAGAAAAAACTTGACCAGCTAGACCTTAGATGTTTAGCATGAAACATCTTCTAATGGGTGTCTACCAAGTTTGTTCAAATAAAAGCCCTGGGGTTTAAACTGGCCCCGTTTCGGGGGCCTATAGACAGGTGAGCGACTTTAGGGCCATCATGGCCCTCTTGTTTAATTACTTGTTAATTCACTATCCAATTATTCCACTATTCATTTAAACATTTCTTTACGATACCAGAAGTTTAGTCCACACTAAACTTGGAGTACTTACTTATCATGACAAGTTGCTGTTATTAGACAAGGGACAGAATTCTGAAAGCAATATTTTTTTAGTTATGCCCATTTTTTTACTTAGAATTTTCAATAGACGAGCGTTATGCGGTGTGTTAACACCGTATGCGGTGTTTTTGTTTTCATCTGATATCCAAATTAAATTATGTTTATCTTTTCCCGTGTGACAAATCTTTATCCATGATCTTAAGCTTTGTGCCAAGTAATGGGTTTTTAATAAATAAAACTGTAAGGAGAAATTTGCACCTTGAAATGCAGTTTTATTTCTTCAAAGCATTTTTTTTCACATTTAGTCATAATGGTTTAAAGAATTTCACAATTTCAGCACTTTTTTTTCTATAAAGCTGACCTTGCTTTCTCACAGTCTGTGCCAAGGGATATCACTGAGTTATATGTTTTTTTTTTGTGATTAGGCTTAAATCAATTTTCAGCATTGTTTTAAAGTACTTTAAAGATACCAAAAACACTATATTTCATATTATATTATGGTATCATTTTTATTACAATTGTGTTGTTGAAATGAATGAGATGTTTTTGAACAGAAAAAAGAGAGGAAAAATAACAATCAAAATAGAAAAGTCTTTGATTTTATAAAGATCCCTTTGTTTTACCATACTGATTTTTTTTACCTCTTGAAAGTTTATCTATGTGTAATGTGAAACTTTTGTTTGACTACTGCTACACAATAAAGACATTTGAAAATATATTGTCTTCTATTAAAATTTATGATTACTAGTATTCGATAAGGAAAAGTTATGTGTTAACGATTAAACATTAGGTTTAAATGGCTCTAATTCGCTTTCTTCATTTTAACAATGCCCGTTTACCTAAAGTTAATATATATGTATATATAAGAAAAAGCCCATACTAATGCACAAATAACACCAGCCCTTAATTACGATAATGTAACGGGGGATAAAAGATTGAAGACTTGCTTCTATTTCATCTTTTTGTGCCCCCACTTTAGTGGCGGGCATTTAGATTTACCCTTGTCCGTCTATCCGTCCGTCAGTACGTCAAAAAGTATTTGACCGAGAGTCATGAAACTTTACAGGGATGTTGATCAGCATGTTTAGTTGTGCACCTGGGTATTATCGTCTGGATATTTTTCGTATTTTTAGAGTTATTGCCCTTGACTTAGTAAAATTTTGCAATTTTCAACTTGTGTCGCATATAACTCAAAAAGGATTTGACCTAGAGTCATGAAACTTTATAATTTTACAGGAATGTTGATCAGCATGTGTAGTTGTGCACCTGGGTATTTTCGTCAGGATATTTTTAGTATTTTTAGAGTTATTGCCCTTGACACATTTATATATCATATATATATTTAAAAAAAAACAATATGAACACATATGAAAACATATGATTTGTTCAGACAAAGTACCTAGTTATTTCTAAAATAGAAACATTGATTAATCAGGTTTACTTACTTTAATTTCTGTGAAAAAATTAATTGAGTAAATTCAAAGTTTTACAATATACAATAATATAATTTATGATAATCATACAAATACTTCCAGATCTTGGCTAGGATTTGTTAAAATAGGAGTAACCCATTCATTGTATCTCTGTGGTGGGACTCTGCGCCTTGGAGGGTGGAGGTTCTGCAGCCATGCGGTATGCTATCTGCAATCTCCGATGGAGATTTAATGCATAAGAGGACTGATTCCCTGTGTGCTCTTCTGAAGGATCTGTGCCTAGATAAGCATGTACAGGAAGCCTTGGGTGCCAACCAAACATCAGAAAGTGAGGGGCATATCCGGTTGCATCATTTTTGGTGGCATTGTATGCTTGAACCAATGGACCTATGTATGCCTTCCAGTCATACTTCTGATGGTTTACAATTTCAGGAGTGTTTGCTTCCAACGTTCAGCCCCTCCATTTCCCATGGCGTGATATGGAGAAGTTCTGGACTTCTTAATGCCAGCAATCTTGCACAACTCCTGAATGTTGCGACTTAAAAAGTTGCGACCTTGGTCACTATGCAATTACTCTGGGAACCCGTAGTATCGAAAATACCCTTCATAAAGTGCCTTCGCTGTGGTAGCTGCAGTCTGGTTCTTGCATGGAATAGCCTGTGCGAAACATGTAAAATGGTCCACTATTACAAGGGTATTTCAATACCACCTTTACTGGGCTCAGGCTTTAAGAAGTCGATGGAAACCAATTCCATTGGTCTGGTAGTATGGATATGTTTCAATTCGGCGAAAGGAGTCTTACGCTTGATACAGCGGTCGCATCTCTCAACCCAACTGAAAATGTCCTTCTCCATACCAGGCCAATAAAACCTTTGTCTACCAAGCCACAATGTCTTCTCTTTGCCTTGATGCCCGGCATCATTATGAATAACTTTCATAGCTATGTTCCTATGAGATTTGGGAATGACAAGCTGTTTGACTTGTTGACCATCCAATGTAGCGGTTCTGTACAGAATATTGTCTTGTATGGAAAGCCGATTTGATTCTCTAAGGTACTTCTGTACAACAGGTTGCTTTGTACTGGTATCTTTCCCCCTGGGCAGGGAACCGCTACGTAGGATGTTCATTACAAGACTTAAAGTACTGTCATTGTACTGCTCATTAAACCAATCAATCTTTGCTATTGAATCAGCTACCTCAGCCTCTTCAGTGGCCATCTGATGGGCTGCTGTACCTGAAGTACAGTTGATGATAGGAGCAGAAATAATTACAGCTTGGTAGATAGCCTTTAGCTCATCCTGAAAAATATGTCGCCTGGATAGGCCATCAGCATCCATGTTATGCTTACCACTACGATATTCCATAGTAAAGTTGTAGTTGGTTAAGTCTGCAAGCCATTTGTGTTGTGTGGATTCTGGCATGGAGTAATCAGCATAACCTAATATTGGTGGGGATACTAACTTTTCATTGATAAACTCAAAGGCCTTTTGTTGTGCTCCACCCCAGACCCACTTAACTGGTGTTTTAGCCTTTTTCTTAGACCCTTTTGATCGTTTCTTGTCACCATGACCTTTTAAAAGTTCGTTCAAGGGTTTTACTATTTGGACATAGTTTGGGACATATTTACAATAGCATCCTGTAAATCCAAGGAACTGTCTAAGTGTTTTTATATTTATAGGGACAGGTCAATCTTGTACAGCTGAAAGCTTGTTTGGGTCTGTGGCAATACCATTGGCAGAAACAACATGCCCTCAAAATGTAATTGAAGGCTTAAAAAAATTCACACTTTGAAGGCATGACATGCAAATTATTATCACTGAGTCGTTGAAAGACAGACTCTAACCTGGAAATATGTTCCTCGAAAGTGGAAGAAAATATTAAAATGTCATCTAAAACATTCCTTGAGATGCATATCACCCATTCATTTTTCCATGCAACGCTGAAAGGTAGCGGGGGCATTTGTTAAACCAAATCCCATTTTATTCCACTCATAGAAACCTAAATCTCCTACAGAGAAACAGTCTTAGGCTTATCACACTGTTAAACCAATTTGCCAGTATGCAGAATGAAGGTCTATTTTAGAAAAAATACTTTAGACATCAATAGTGTCGTCAAAGCGTGGTAACATGTATGCATCTTTGCGTGTTCTGTTGTTTAACTTACGCCAGTCAACACAAAATCTAAGGGCACCAGTAGGTTTTTGCGCAAGGACAACATTTAAGGAAAACTGCGAGTTTGATTCCCTTATAATATTGGCATCGAACATTTCTCTGATGTGCTGCCTAACCACCTCATATAAAGCTGGAGGAATTCTGCGATACGGTTCTTTGAAAGGAGTTTCATCTTCCAATTAATTCTATATGATGTTCAATTAAATCAGTGGTTTGGATTTCTTTAGTAGATGTACAAAAATGCCCTTCCATTTACCAAGAACCTGATAAAATCTTAAAGTTTGTTCTGGTGTTAGATTGGAAGTATTCACTGAAATGCTCTTGATTGGAGGTTCTGAAGGAACATTAGGAGATATATCAGAAGAAATATCATCTATAACAGATTTCTGACTTGGGTTTGATAGCCAATAGTTAAGCAGTCATGTTACAAACCGATATTTTTGCAGAAACAGCATTATTTGTTTTGATGACACGTTGACAAACTGTATACCCTTTAAAGATCTCAGGACTTTCAGTAACGACAGAAGATATAGACTGATCAAGATTTCTAGCAATGCCATTAAGTGAGATACTCTGAAATGGGGGTATTTTTACACTTTTCTTACCACACACCTTCACATGGTAAGTATGAGAGTCAATACTATCCATAGCAATCCATATTTCTAAGTTATAGACTGTCTTTTAACAACTCAGTAGTCATAATTTCCGTGTCAAGCCTTCCAGGTGTAAATTTTTCAAGTCTTCAGTTACATATTTAGGGCATGTTGTTTCTGCCAATGGTATTGCCACATTCAACGTTGATTTGCGACAAAAGTTTCATGCTAGAATGTACATTCTTGCTACTATAGCGATAAAAATATACAGAAGGGCGGCACAAGACAAAATTAATCTTCCATACGTTAGAAGACATCTTTTGAGTAGCTCTTCTGAGGGATTTAGTCGTATAACATTTAAAATAAACCTCTACAATTTTATGCCCTCCTTCCAAAACTCAAGCATTCATAAACCCCCATGCTTTATAGCAGTGCTATGATTTAAATCGATAAAACATAGGGGTCGAAAAGATTAATGGTGATTTGTAGTCACGTACCAAATGTTACTCTGTGCCCTTTGCCGACAAAGGTCGTTGTAGCTTGCAAGAATGACCCACCACTCACGAAACAACTTTACAATGTAAAGAAAATAATAATTGTTACCTATTATCTGCCTATTATATGCCTTACATAGTGCGTAAAAAGTCCAAATATAATTGTTGAATAAAACAAGAAACAAGGTGTCTTGCTGGGAATATATTTAAAAGATGAAGTCACTTGTGTTTTGTTTAATAGCTACACTTTTTATCCAGAATTGTGAGTATTTGATAAATTATTTGATCATACAGTTTTAAAGTTTTAAATGCAGCTATTACTTTAAAACCTTTTAAGATTTTTTTTCATCAAAATTATCATAAGTGTGATAATGATATTGTATTTTAAAAAAAAACCATTTTGTTAAATGAAAGTGTTTCTTATATTATTTGTTTTTTGTTTGTTTGTATGTCTTAAATCGTTTTGAAACTTGTACACTTGAAACGTGTTAAGTTTGTTTCATCTAATATAGTAACATCAACAACAAGCTATAACGATTTAGCTGTGAAAAAAATTGCTCGCTATAGAAGGTCTTTTACACACGAAAAGTATGTCAATGTATCACAAAAATGTATATTCGATTTTCGATTTAATAATTCACTTTTTGTTGCAATTTTGCTCCTCAAGTTTATTTGCTTTTCTCATAATGTTAAAATGAAATCGAAGGAAGCAATATAAAAAGAAATGAATACAGAGAAAATAAAATAATTTTAAAATATTGTGACAGATGCAGGAGCGTCAACTTTAAGATGTTACAGCTGTGAATCATGCGGTGATCCTTTTAATAAAACTGCCGTATTGAATGTGACATGTTCTGGCTCTTGTCTTAAATCAAACTACGATGGATGTAAGTATGTTTATGGAACACTGTTTTTATAACGTTAAAAAGAATAAATATATATAAGTAATATACGTAATTAAAGTAGTAAGAAAGTAACTAGGTTATATTATATATTGACACACATATATTCGGTACCAATACGGAAAGCATAGGTAATATATTATATATTGACACACATATATTCGGTACCATCACGGAAAGCAATGTATTCCTTGTAGAAATTTCAAATTAGTATCCGTCTAATCACAAATGTGTTTAATTTTTTATTTGTGTTTGTATTTACAGCTATCTCATAATTGCGTTTTAATACTAAAAATGATGCTTCCGTCCTATTGTAAACATAGTGCCTAAGTTCATTTCAGTGTTGTTTAGTTTGCTCGACCTCTGTTATCTTTGTTTTAGATGGTTTTAGTGTGCAAAGCTAATAAAGTATGAGAGAACATTAGGAAAATCTATTTAAAATGTTTTTTCATTTGTTTCTTATACACAGATTTAATGTTAGTGAATCTGAGATATTCATTTAATATTCATTTTGTTTTCAGTGCCCCCTAAGGATAATAGTAGGAAATTATTAAGAACGTTGTGAAGCTGGGTTTTACTGATATTTATAGAATATAACAAATCTAAATTAATCTCTTTTCAGGGATTACAAGAGGCTGTTCAAATATTTCTCTAGTACCAGGATGTACCCGAAATAAAGAACTTCTGGTATGTGTATGTGACACGTATCTTTGTAACAAGACGCAAGGAAAACACACATGTTTGGTTGGACCATATATCATCTGCATCATCTATTTCCTTTTACAAACTCTCGATAAACATTTTAATTGACATAATTCATATTTGTCATTGTTTTCAGTTACCTTAATCTTTAGAGACACATTATTACGAAACGCTCGTTTGAACTTTACATTACAAGTTTCAGATGACTTTAATTGCATAGCAAACAGCTAAAGACAAAGACTACAGTTCCAGTTTCTAAATGAGATTATTGTAAATGACTATCTTTTGACAAATATGGATGATATCCATTTTATAGTTTAGTTGATGAGTAATACCCTAATCATAAATAATTATACAAAATGTACATATTGTTTTTGATTTTGTCTTTACATTGCTTTGCTCTGTTTGTCTTTATTAAAGCAAGTTAACGTATTATTTGTATTGTATTTCCATTCAAATGGCCAAATGTTTATTTGTTGTTACAAAAGTTAAAATGATATACATTGTAGTTTTATACATAGTATTCTTTATTAAAAGGAATAAAACTATATCTAAGAAACGTTTGTTAAAACTTTAAAAAAACAGTTTATTATGATTTGTCCATAATGTTATTATTCATTTTCGAAAGTTTTGTACAGTAATAGAGAACGATTCTTTGATAATACACACATGAATTTATACTGTATATAAACAGAATAAAATGTTTCGGAACAAAATACTTAAATAGGATTTAACAATTTAAGAATATTTTTGTGAATGTGCTATTGGCTCATATGGTATAATACCAACATTGTCTTTCATACAGGTAATTTGAATTTATTTAAAAAAAATCAAACAAATCTTCTGTATATTGCAGGCAGCAGAGATAAAGTTACATATATGCATATAAAACATAGATAAAAGGGCAATAGAAACAAAATATACATATTCTTAAAAGGAAAAAAATGTACACGGTTTTACATTATTATTGTGATTTTGTATGAAAAAAAGAATTGTCAATGATACACATCTAGACAAATTAACACATAACGGAACTGTATAAAGTAATACAGTTTTGTTTTTGTTATTGTAGATTGTCAGATTGAAAAATTATAGCTATGCACGCAAGAGTATGACGGCAAGAACAAAGACATTGATCATTTAGCTTGAATACACTTTCATACAAACATAAGGCGGTAGATAGGGGTATATTTAGTGGAGAACAAGAAGAAAGCAATTTTTCTTCTTATTGTATTTTGCTAAACAATGCAAAATGGTATAATGAAAAAATGATTTTCTGCTATAAAGCAAACTGCATAAATAATTACTTAAAGTAATTTCAACACATACGACGATCCAGAATGACATTGATTGGCTTAGAATAACGACTTAATTGCTTTAGCCTGTACAACCATTTAGTACATTCAGATAGAATTGCTAAGTTTAGCCATTACTACAATTTCATCTTTTAAACTTTATAAAGCACGTTAATGGATTGATGTGAATATTTATAAACAATGCTTTATTTGATTGTAAACATAAATACTTTTATCTGTTCAGTGTTATATATTGCATGTATTTTCTATCCTTCATATGACTTTTCATGTTCAAATTCTTATTCATTTGCGGATCAGAAGCATGCCATTTAAGCTATACTTAGAATCAAATAAAAAGACACTAGCAATGTACCACACCATGCGCCATGAAAAAGACCCTTGAGAATTCACAAGTTTGTTTCGTGAGAACGCTTATTATGATTTGTCTTCAAGAAGAATCGATCACTTTCAAAAGAGTTGCTGGCAAATTTCGTGTCTATTAATTATGAACACTCGAATGACAAAATATATTAAAGTCCTTCAAGAACGCTATAATATTAGATGTAGAGCAAATTTGAGATGAAAAGTTGGAAATTTGTATCACTATGTTGTTGCCATTGTTCTCTAGTGAGAGTGTAAAAGGCCAACATAGATATAAGAAGAGTATTTGTCGTAAGAGTAGCAAAATATCAACAAAGTAGAAGTTTGACTTTTAGACACTGATTTTGAAATCACTTGAACCGTACTAATTACTAAAAGGCAACAGAAGCAAACGACGTGTAAACATATTGGCCATTGAATTACTATTTGGAACTGAAAAAAAAATCTTGAACATTTAAAAAAAGTTTTAAGAAACAAAGATGAAGTCATTTCTGGTGCATGATGAATGTGTATAGAACAAAACTGTACAAAATTCAGGGGCGTACCTCGGCTTATTTTGAGTGTACGACGAGTGCAGATCTTTGGTCGCAGCGTCGCCATAGATATATATAAAATATAGCTATATGTGCTAAAATAAGAGATTTAGGGGACATCTAAGCTAATTGTACTTCTATTGTCTTTATCTATAGTTATGAAAATAACATCAAGTACATGCATTAAAAGTAAGAGAAATTTCACGAAGTCTAACATTGACAATGTTTTAAAAAGTTCAAAAGTTATTTACGACTAGAAAAACAAAACATAGCCAGGTGTCACTCTATTGTAATAGAAATGTTAAACAAGTTTTTTCTTTGTTATTCTTCTTTTGTTTCATCATAACTTAACATGAGATACAATCAAGTAGGAAAAATTTGCTTTAAAATGATCTGAATGACTTTAATACAAACACAACAGCTTTAATGTTTTAGAGTAACAAAATGTTATCGTATTAATCAGCTAAGATGTAGTATCGCACGATCATTTAGGTCTCTTAAAATATTTTTAAATGCGTATTATGTCAATGTTAAAGACAACAAATATTGTCTTTAACAGTTTTTATTCTCAACTCTACTCTTTCAGTTTCCATTCCAAATATTTAAGATATTTCATCAGGAAGTTAAATGCCTCACGCACATAAAAGGATGCTCGCCAACTCGTTATCTAAAGTTGTTGAAAATAAAAGAATTGGGACGTACATGACGTGTCTTATATGGCTATACATTGTTTTCGTTGTATATTTGTCTATGTTTTAAATATGTATAGATGAGACTATGTATAATAAAGAATATATATATGTCATTGTTTGCAGAAGTATGCAACTTATTTCTATACACAATAAAATAATACAGTAGAAACATCTTTCTGTAGTGATATATTTTGTAAATACATGTATTCATTTTTACGGTTAAATCGGTTTGTAACGATAGATGCTGGCAAAGATCTGATTCATAGGGCCCAAACTATTCTACACAATTTGAAATGAATATAAGATGAACGAATGTTACTAAATTAACAAATAATATACTGACTTATAGCTACAAGGTAAATTCCATACAGCTAACTCCGCAAACTCCAAGTTGCAGACAAGATCTTAATTTTGCATATAGATCTAGATGTAAAACATAAAATAAATGTTTAGTTTTCACTGATTTTGATTCTTCTGAAAAAATGATTGCAATTTATTGGACAATTTTTTTTCATTATTTTGATTTTGGCGATGTTTATTAGCATTATAACATTGATTCTTTAAAGCTTAATTCAATCTGAAAAAAAGAGAAAATTCCAAAGAAATTTTTTATATCATAGTTTTACATTGTGTACGTCACTCCAAGTTTCTGTTGACCAAGTTTCTGTTGAAAGGCCGAATATTTTGTTTTCTGAGTTTCAAAGTCTCATCTTTCGCATAGGGTGGTATAAACTGAAATTTTAAAGATAATTCAAACCATACCCCCTTATAAACACTGATTTCTCGGATGCGAGACTAACACAACAATAGAATAATTCTCTCTAACATGGCTTCCCGTTGATATACACAAGCAATTGTTTTATTTTAATTTGCTCATATGTGCTTTCTCCCTTTTCTTATAATTGATTTCTTGATTGTTAACGCATATTCGAATAAGGTAACACCCTAAATATACCTATAGAATCAATTAGCAGCTACGAATATGTTGATCGATCTACACCTAAATTATTGATTTCATTTTTGATATCTTACTTTTGCGAAACTCTTTTCTTTTTATACGACCGTGCGTATTGGCGTATCGGTAGGTATGCCCCTGAAATTACCATGATACCTTTATATCATTGTAATTGAACCTGAAGAAAAAAAAAGAATTGTTTCAAGAAGAATCAGCTGATCTTTTAAGTTTGCAAAATAATTATATAACTTAGTTAATTGTCTGGTCCTAAACTAATACATACGTTAATGCAAGACCATTTAGCTAGAAAGTCAACTGTTTGGTTAATAAGTTCACAGTGTCTTTGATAATTCGATCATTTGGTTAATAAATAGAAAATGTGACTAAAGAAACACGTTTGGCCAAAGATTCGGTAAGCAGATAATTCTTACAATTTTAAAACTCGTCAGCTATTTCTATAATGATCAATAAAGAAATCACCGATAGTTTGTGTAATTAACATGTAAACTACCCTTTTTAAACTTATACTGATATTCTACACATGAGCAAAAAAATCAAAATAGATTTATAAGACTTAGTCCTTTAAGTAAATAGTTAAGTACAGAATAGTCCAATTATAGTTATAGTTATCAGACTGACCTTTGAACAAGTTCTTGAAACTACTGAAAATATGAATGAACCCAAGTTAAGCAAGTAAGACACAAAGTATCGTTTAACATGCTTACCTTGAAGCTATAACATTTTGTTTCATAATAAGCTTACATGAATAATCAGTTTTATATCTTTTTCTTCCAATTAAGTTTTTGAAAAATTCTTTGGAAAACAATATGCTTTATATCATTTTGTTTGTATCTTATCTAGTAGACTGAATATAACCATGTCTGCAAAATGAACATTTTGTACTTTTAAAGGATTTTGTGTATAAATAAGGAATATATATTCCGAAAGTGATTTTTTAAATGAATCATAATTTTTAAGTAAAATTCAGGTTAGCTTATTGTTATAGATTTCAAATTTACCACAGAAGCCGGGACAAATTTCTTATCTCGGATCAGATAAATAGCATGGTTGACAATCTTTACATTTCTCTGATGACGATCCTAAAATTAGGAATTTCAAATAAAATAAAAATGTAAAATAAAAACTCTATTAATTAGAAAAAAGACGTTTCTTGCTTCCTTAACAAAACAAACTTCTGAAAATGCTCGTAAATGTAAACAAATGCAATTATATATTCTTGCATACCAGACATGATTTATAGCCTAGTATCCACCGAAAATATCTTCTGTCGAGCTGGATAGTACAGTCTTTATTGGTTTTTGGTGTATGATTCTCTTACATGTCCATATAACTCGCAAAATCGCAGAAGCTTATTCCCAATTCAAAGATGGGGAATGGCAATTGTTATAACGACCAAAGAATAATCATATGTGATCTTATTAGATAAGATACAATGCGGTGATATCGTATAAAACTCTTTGTGACTGTTAAGAAAATATAACCCATTCATCCAGTAAACACGTACATTTTACTTATCATTACAACCTACATTCATTACTTTGGAAGAAGGAAAACATGATATTATAAAAATTACTCAACATTATGCAAGTTTGAATATAATGTATTACGAAGACATTGGTCGTAATAGTTATAAACCAATTAATAAGTTACTTTCAAATAAACATACAAGAGTTAGTGTTGATATAGTGAATTTATATTTCTTACTGGAATACCTTACCTTTGAATAACTGCATTTCATTTTGTAGATTCAAATGTATATAAAACTTAAACTATTCATTATTTTTGACACACATATTAATCAAAATAGTTAATAAGTTTGATACAAATTTATTATCAATAATTGCCTATTTAAGTGCAAAGGATAATTATGGAAAGCATGGTCTAACAAAAAACTAAAATCACAAATCCTTATATAGTTTGAGACAATATCCATACACCCCTGTAAAATATTGCTTATATCCAACAATTAGCTCTTTTTTATGGAACGCCATAGCTGCCTTATATTCACTCTTATCAAGTCGTGGTGTCCTTTGGATAAATGGTGATGTCGTTTTATAGATGGTGCTATGGTTTTGATAAATGGTGATGTTATTTTCATATATGGTGATGTGGTTCAGATAGATGGTCATGTAATTTACATATATGGTGCAGTCATGTTATAAACGGTGCAGTGGTTTTGATATATAGTTGATGTCATTTTAATAAATGGTGCTGTGATTTCAATACTTGGTTAAGTCTATTTAAAATATTGTGCTGTAGCACTGATCGATGGTGTTGTCGTTTTTACATATGGTGATGTCGTTTTGATAAATGGCGAAGTCGAATTGATAGATGATGCTGTAGTTTTGTTAAACGGTGTTGTGAGTTTTAAAGATGTTGCTGTAATTTTGATACCTGGTGATGTCGTTTCAATAGACGGTGCTGTGAATTGGATAAATGGTTATCTCGTTTTGTAAGATGGGGCTGTGGTTGTTATAGATGGTGCTGTAATTTTGATAAATGGTTATGTCGTTTTGTTAGATGGTGCTGTGGTTTTTATAGATGGTGCTGTTATTTTGATAAATGGTTATGTCGTTTTGTTAGATGGTGCTGTGGTTTTTATAGATGGTGCTGTTATTTTGATAAATGGTTATGTCGTTTTGTTAGATGGTGCTGTGGTTGTTGTAGATAGTGCTGTAATTTTGATAAATGGTTATGTCGTTTTGTTAGATGGTGCTGTGCTATTTATAGATGGTGCTGTAATTTTGATAAATGGTTATATCGTTTTGTTAGATGGTGCTGTAATTTTATAAATGGTTATGTCGTTTTGTTAGATGGTGCTGTAATTTTGATAAATGGTTATGTCGTTTCAATAGACTTTACCTCATATAGACGTGATTTGACGGCTTGTCGACCCCCCCCCCCCCTATGAGGCCTCAGACAGTACAAAATGCCC